AAAATAAGAATATTTTAAGGTTACGGTAGTTGTCGCTGTGGGACCTTCGGCCACGGCCACCGGCGTTTCTCTTCCACAACTCCGACGTTTTTTTTGAACCCGAATAATATTGAATATGTTTTTCAAATTCAGAATCGTTGGAGGAGTTATATGAGTACAGTTAGAAAATCAGCGCATTCCGTATAGAACCATTTCAAAATCGAGGTCCTACAAAATGGTCAAAGTTTCATTTTTCCAGCTGAAGTATACAGTTGCACATAAATAGTGACATTTTTCAACATTCTTAAAATCAAATTCTTCCTCTCATACAATCAAATTCTTTGGTTTCAAATTCACTTGCTTCCAATACCGTTTCATTTTCCAAATCCTCAAATTCTTTCATCGGATTCATATCCTCCTCTTCTTTTCAATTTCTTACTTTTTTCTCACTTTCTTCAACTTTTTCATCACTCCCGAACCCGTCAAATCCGATAAGCCAGTCCGATTAGTGCACCGTCCATTTCACCCCTTTCACCTCCTGAGAGGGGTGAAATTTTCCGTCATCCATGTACTTTTTTACCGTTTTACTTTTCATGTTCTTCTCGCTTTCTCGCCTTCTGGCTTCCCCCTCTCCTCTCTGGTCTTCATTCATCGAGGTCATCGGCGAGAATCACAAAAAAGTGGGCGGAGTCTCGTTTGGGAGGGAGGAGGGAAGAAGGGGATGGTTAGCCATCTCGAGGATTGGAAGAATGAAAAAGAAATAAATGGATTTTATACTTCTTTTCACCATATTTTACCCGATTCTGCTACATGGTTCTTTTTCTTACTTTGATTGGATTTTCAGATTTCCGACGCCATGAAGCGTTGGATTCTCATTTTTTATACGATATTCATACTTGGAAAGTTTGCAAACAGTCAACCTCAACCGCCACAACAGCTGCAAGTATGCCTTCGTGGTAAGTTGAAGTTAATAAAAATCATTTTGTCTTTTCTTTGTGCCAATCTTTCTTTGTGCCAATCAAAGTCTTTGCTGAAAATTTAACTTTGAAAGTCTTGCGAATTTATGATAGCTCGCTTTAAAGTAGCGAAGTTTCTCTTTTTGTTGCATTTGGTATTTATAACTAGTCTCCTCCAATTATTTTGAATATCCGAAAAATTTTTCGCAAACTTTAAACTTAATAGACCAAACTAAATAGAAACATCTTTTCGTAAAGAACAAATCGCATTTATTTATGTATTTAATAACAAGTACAAGACAACTAGAATGAAAAAAGAAAGGAGAAACGAGAGGGAGATCACTTTCGCTTTTCGCTAATTTTGTGGTTAGTTTTGACTGTTCGGAGACTTCCTGCCTTCTTGTTCATACGATCGCCCGCCATTTTATTATGAACTTGATGGTTGTGGACTGGTGGTATTTGAACCTCAAAGAAGAGAAAACGTGGTTGAATATGGGTCAGACTGGCTATAAGTTTTTGAGGGAAAACTGTTAGATGGATAGAAAAAATTGGAGTTATAACGTTTTTTGGACGAGCTATGGGTAAACCAGGGATGTTCGGAATGGCCTTTTTCGGATTTTCGGAATTTCGGAAATTCAGAATTTTCCGATTTTCAAAAAAAAAATAGAAAGATTTCAACAGCGCAAAAAAATCAAAATTAATTCTGTTCCAGACACGCAGGTAATTTTTTCCTGACATACTGTAGTCGAAAAAATTTTAGTTCCGAAAAAAATGCTTCGAAAAAATTCCGACCGGAATTTCATTCCGAACTTTTTTCTCGGATGTTCATTCCGAAAATGATCGGAATTTTCGAAATTTTCGGAATTCCGAACTCCGTTCCGAACATCCCTGGGGTAAACACGAGAGCTTACAGGATATCTACCCATATTGTCCGAAATCTCGCCCCAGATTTTAGGCCAAACGAAAGTTAATAACTTCAAAGGGAGCGTTTGACCTGTGCATTTTTATTCAATGCGCGATTTTTTTAACTCATCGCGGTACGTTTGATACTCAACCAACGAAAAAAAGAGTATCAAACTCACGTTCGCTGGGGCGCGATTCCTGACCAAACTTTTTGAAAACCTGTGGAGATATTATGCAATGGTATATTAGTTTTTGATCTTCTGACTTTTTAAAAGAAACACTTTAATTAGAACCATTGTAAAACCTTTTGTAAATTCATTAGTTTTTAAACAGTTCTATTATAGATAATTCAATGTTAGTTCAGATTATGTTTTAGCGTTGTGGAACCTTTTCTCGAATACTATACGATAACGAAGCCATATCAGTTCCACCTTACCCTTACTAACAATTTCTTTTTTCTTCTTTTTCTTCCATTTCATGTATAAGTAAAGAATCTATTTTTCTCTCAATTCCCTTGTTCATCAATCATTCTTTCGCAAATTAGCGGCTAGTCAAACCCTCCTATTATGCATCTCCTTTTTTTGGCTAACCGCTTCTTATTGAAAAGAAAAAGAGATAACAGCATAAATTATGGATCGTCCGACACTCTTCGATGACAATTATTATGATGCCAATGTGTCAAAAAAGGAACAAAAAACGGGATTCCGATTGAGATAAATGTGTTGAGATCTTGCGTATGGCGTTGTTGCATAAATAATATCTTCTCATGTTTTTCTATATTTTTCGGGAAGAAGAGTTTTTGAATTGCGGACTGTAGAAGACACATCCTCCTCTCCTTTGCTTCCTGTTCTCATTTAATCTCAGATTAGCATGTATTTTTGAAAATAGAATGAAAGTGAATGAATAGGCGAAACGAAGAGTCATGCTGAGAAAAAAGAGTGACAATGAGACTGTTCCTGAATTTTAATTGGATTTGGAAAAAGAGAAAATTAGGTGTTGAACTGTGACAGCTTTAGCAGTTTTAGGATTAAAGGGTGCCGTACAGTTACTCGGACTTATAAAAACGGGACATAAATATCTTGGAACACGAAGAGTGGTAGAAATATAATTTTACATCTAATTCAAAACTTCTGAAATTTTCAAAGCGCTTCCCAAAGTGTAGGTATTGTTATGATTTTCCAAAGATGAACGACGAATGTTTCTTGTGATTTTCATGAGATGAAACAACTTTGACAAGCGAGAACTCAGCTCAAAGTTGATCAAATAATTTGAAATTTGGCCAGTTTACTGATGAATTGTTTGAATTTTAGCACTGCAGATTTTAGCTCAGTACAACGCTTTACTCAAATTTTATGCTAGTACAAACTTTAGTCTGAGTAATTATACGCTACTCTGTACAAGTGTTAAAAAGGTATTTAAAATCAGGAGCTAACAAAACATGTTTTAGATTTCACAACAGAAATGATTTATATTTCAGACATAGAAGAAGATATCTGCCCTCAACGAGAAGGGTATGATGCTGAATGTGATACAAGATGTGGCCAACTTTATCCAATGAGAATCGGCAGTGGATGTCGAACTAGACAGACTGGTATTAGATTATCTATTATTTTGAATTCTTATTCTTAATTTTCTAGGTCAACTTCTTTCCTTTTTTGGAATCCGTTCTTTTGTATGCACATGTCATTTATCTCCAATTGCTTGTGCAAATCCACAATTCGCAGTTCATCCATACCATACTCTTGTGGTTCAACAGCACTCTCATCTGAATCCAATCCAACAACTACCACAAAATTGTGGCTCTCCAATGGTAGAATTAGAACGTTTACTACAATTCAAATATTTTTATTCTTAAATTCAGCCTGCATCCCTTTCTTGTCGAGACGCGTCGTTATGTAGTTCATGGCAGTACTCTCGAGAGTTTGAATGGTACTCTGGACGTCCGAATGTATTGGCCCGACCCAGAGAATTACCTGGTTGGTGCTAATTGTAGAGAAAAATCAAATGAAGTTTACAGTAGGCGAATTCCTGGCTGGAACAAGTCAACAAGGCGCCACATGGGCCACTATTTCAACATGCGATGCACTTTGTTCAACGACTTCAGTCAACTTGACGGCAAAAGTTTGGAGACCTCCAACGGTTATTGTAGAATTGTGCTTCAAGTAATTTTTATCCGATTTCCATGAAGAACCTGAAAATTCCAGAGAAAAAGAAACAACAATGTGTGCCCCTGTTCATGCGTCGAACGGTCATTTGATCAACGAAATCATTCCAGAAACTAACTATTTTCAGGTTAGATTAGTTTGTATATTATTGAAAGAAATCTTGTCGTTTCCAGGTAATGCTTCGTTTTTCCAACGTTACTGCTGGTGAAATGATCCTTCTTGATGACCTGAAAATTGACTACCAACCATGTCAGAAGAAGAGCAAAAGCGTGGCAGCAACGGTTCTCTCGGTACATGTTTCAGCTACTTTATTCAATTGTAAAACTTTCATATTTTCAGACAAATGTAAGTACAGTCACTCTAAAGTCTGGAGGTCTCCCAATAACTTTGATAAATCCGAATAAGGGAGATCCTCGAATGGTTCAACATCGAATGTGTCAAGATGGTAAGTGTTATGATTCATTCTGATACAAACTTATGTAATTCTAGGGGAATGCGAACATAAACCTCATCACTCTGCATTCCATTCTTCTACTGCAAAAATGTGTGTTGGAAGACCAGGACTGGCATACTGTAGACAGAAATGTAGAGCTTTGGATGCTTCGGAGTAAGTGTGTACCGTTAAACCTGTAATATTTAGAAGGGCCGTTAGGAATCCTTCTGTTAGAGGATTTACGGTGGAATTCAGCTCATCAGATGACTTTCACTTTTTTAAAGATTATCAGCAAAATGTCTTCGACAACGAGAGAATCCACTAATCAAAAAGTGCATCTGCCACGTCAGAAGATCTCCAGTTAAAAGAATCGAAGGAGGAGTTATAGAACCAACTACAGTATCCCGAGAAGTTGAAATGAATAGAGTGTTGGCTGATGATGTTACATCAATGGTACTGTCAGAAAAATTAGATGCTTTTTGTTTAATTTGAATTTTCAGACTAACTTTCCTCCATCGGCTACTACAGTAGTCACAGAATCGCCATCCACCACAACAAAAGTCGTGATGATGGATATTCAAAATGAGGAAAAAACAGAAGAAGAAACTGCGAAAATTATAGTTTTAGAAAGACCTAAACATCCGTTGAGATGTGAAGAAACTAATTGTAATTTCGAGAAAGATACCAAATGTGGATGGGCGGATTTGAGAATGTTAAGCAGACATTTTAATAACATCAGTGTTGCGATGAAGAGAGGAGATGGTTAGTTTTTTATTAATGGGATAGTCTTTTAGCGAAGGATGAGCAATGAGGAAAATTTCAGAAAACCGCTATGGCATATCTCGTTTGGAATCGAAATCCTATTCTGGTTTACTCTATAAAGCGTCACTGATTGGTCCAATTCAAATGTCTATCGACGTTTATCCATCTCATGAAATTGATGTTAGAATTTGTGTTCAGAATTTGAGAAAATGCCAAACTCAAACGATTGCTCCTCGTTCGTGGAACCGAATTTCCGCCAGAATTAAAGTTCAAAGCACCGAAAAGGTTAGTTTTCCTTCTAGGGGCTGGTACCAAGGTCCCACAACGACAACTACAGTAACCTAAAAATATTTTCATTTTCTGAATTTTTTCTCGATTTTCGTGCGTTTTCAGTCAACCTGTTTGCTACGGAAAAGTTTATTTTCCGATTTGTTCGGGAAAAATAAGGAAAAACTCGACGACGAAAGGTAAAAACGAGAAAAATAATCCGGAAAACTTTTTAAATGATTAGGTAACGGTAGTTGTCGTGGGACCTTCGGCCACGGTCACCGGCGTTTCTCTTTCACAGCTCCGAATGGTTTTTTTTTCAGATCTTCGTGTTATTCTATAACAATGCGATGGAGACAAAATCGATTGCAATCGACAATATTTTGGTCAAAAATGGTGCTTGTATATAATTTCGAAACTCCAAAAAACAAATTGGCCCAACCACAGAATCTCAATCAGAAATGCGGGATAAATCACTCAACGAATAACTCGATGAAAAAAATTTTAATTTAATGAGCACTAATAAAGTATATTTTATTGTGATCCTCTTTCCCATTATAAAAAATGACTCTGAAAAAGCGAAATTTGTTTATGGGGTATTCAACTCAACAAAAAATGAAAAAAAAACAACAGATAACTGGAAAAGTGTAACAATAAAAATAACAATAACAATTCAAAACGAGCAACAGAAAGCAAGAAATTAATCCTTTTCATCATCGGCAATTTGCAGTTGTTGCTGGAATTCTTCGGTTTGAGCCTTCGATTTTTTAGATCCTTTCTTGTTTCCAGAAAACTTTTCAGCAGTTTTCTCTCGCAATTCCTCAACGGTTTCATCCTCTTTCGCCCATTCCAAAACGAGACGTCGTCCGTATAAATGGGTTGAGTGAACAAGAGAATCGAATGCACGGAAAGCTTCGTCAGTTGAGATGAATTCGACGAAACCAAATCCACGATGCTGTAGCTTTTGTCCTGGTTTTCGTGGAATTCTGATACTTTTGGCAGCTCCAAACGTCTCGAAAAGAGTCTCCACTTCTTTGATAGAAGCTTCGAATGGCAAATTTCTAACAAGAAGTTTTGTGCATTCTCCTTGCTCTTTCTGCTTGACATCTTTTCGTTTGAGAGCTCCTTTATCCACGTTCTGTTAAATAAAATACATAAAACTGATGAATGAAAAAGACAATTCTTACCTCTCTGTGAGAAATCTTCAATTCCAAAGAGTGACCATCGAGAAGTTCACCTTGCATCTCTTTCAATGCGTTTTTCGCATCGAGAGCAGTGTAGAACTGTACGAATCCGAATCCCATTGAAAGAGGTTTCGTAGGTTCGGCTGGATTGAGTTTCTTGGAGATTTGAGCATTCTTGACCAAATCACCATAACGTTTCCTGTAAATATCAACATTAACCGAACCGAGAGGAGTTCTTTACATACCGGAAAAGAGATCCTAAACCATCGTCTGTAGTGTCGAAAGCAAGATTTTTAACGAAAATGGCACTGCCAGACTCGATTTCTCTTTCTGGCTGTTTCTTTTCTTTCTTCTTCTTCTTTTCGACGGGCTCCGACTCTTTTGTTTCTTCCACTTCATCTTCGTCTAACTTCTTATCTTCCTCTGTTTCTGTTATTCCTTGCTGCCTGTTTTTCCTCTCCTTTTTCTTCTCCTCATAAGTCATTTCTCTCTTAGACTTTTTTGGTTTTGTATAATCTTCTGATTTTTCCTGTTCTTCTTCTTTTGGTTGTTCAGTGGCTCCCATCACGTCATATGGAGCCCATTCAAGATACAATGGCTGACTTCTGAATCGGGAATAGGCTAACGCTCGGAAAGCCTTTTTAGCATCAACAGGGTTTCCCATAATGACGAGAGCACTGACACCGCCTTCAGAAGGCATCAATACTTTCTGACAATCACCGAATTTTTCAAACATTCTTTGAAGCTCTTCAGTTTCTACACCAGCTGGCAAGTTCTTCGCCAACATGACAGTATCACTTCGTTTTTCAGCAGGCTTTGAGAATGCGTCTAACTTCACACCGTTTTCCAGGAAGAAATCACGAGTTTCGCGAACAAGACGTGTTTCGGCAAGAGCTAGACGAACTCCAGCTGACTCACCTAAAATATAAAATTGTTAGTGGTTTTTCACAAATGAGAAATATTACCTTGGTCACTTGTCAGCAAATCCGATTTTTTAACATTCAAACGTTGTGCCAATGTATCTGCAATCGCGTTAGCGCCCAAAAACAAAGCATTCCATGAGTGAGCTGTTTTGCCAGCAGAAGCCTTCTTCTCTTCTTCCTTTTCATCCTTGAACGTCTTCTTTTTCTTCTCTTTCTTGACAGCGGCTTTCGTTGGATTGTCTGGATCGTCTGGAGCAGTTTCCACAGTTTCTTGATCTTCAGCAGGCGTATCACGCTTTTCGTCTCCAGGAAGAATATGCATCATACGTCCTTTGAAAACGTATCCGTCAAGAGCCGAATAAGCAGCGACTGCCGCCTCGGGGAAAACGAATTCAACGATTGCAAAACCTTTACAGCTACCAGTCTTCTTATCGATAATGACCTGAACTTCCGAAACCTCTCCATACTTTTTGAAAAGAAACTGAAGGTCGTCTTCTTTTGTAGCGTATGGCAAATTACGTAGAAACAGTCGGCCTGTCTCGAGGATCTTTTCACGAACCGACTCTTCCTCTTTGTCTCGGCTCTCCAACGAAGCTCCGTGCTCTTCGACATGTTCTTTTTCTGGTTCGGCTGTCTCGATCTGAAATTATCTCACATCAACAAACGGAAAATTTAGAGCAGCTTACTTTTTCGATTGCAATTTTAAATCCTCCTAAAAACTGTCCGTCCTTTTGAAGAGCTCTTCGGACATCTGGTGGTCTGTTGAAAGAAACAAATGCTGCAGCAACATCGTCATTCCGGGCGATTTTCATAGCTTTCACACGAATTGGATTGAGCCATTCCTTGATATTTTTACCTTTTGCGGAGCTCGGCAGTCCGGAGAAAATTAAAGAGAGTGAAGTATCACCTGAAACATCGAACTTCAGAATATGAATATAGAATCTGAAAAAAAGGTGGTACGACGGATTGGAGATTTCCTAAAATGAAACTGTAGCAAAATGAACATTTCCTAAATCAAAATGGTTCCAAATTGAAAACTGTGCGAAATCAGAACTGTCCGGAAGTATAAATTGGACGGAACAGAAATGCCTAGAGTGAAATTGTCCCGTTTTGGACAGCTGTTAGCGCGAGCGCTCTATTGCTAACAGCTGTTTAAAACGGGGCAGTTCTACTTTAGAACAATTCCACTTTCGCTTTTTCTGCTTTCGGACAGTTTTCATTCCGTAAATTTTTCAATTTGAAAGTATTTCGATTCAGAAACATTTCATTTTGCTACTATTTCATTTTGGGAAATGTCCGATCCGTCGTACCACCGAAAAAAGCTTCACCTTCAACACCTTCCATAAGTTCCTTCATCAGTTTTTTTGCTTCTGCGGACTTGTCTTTGCTCAATTTGACTTCTTTTTCAACAGTTACACCTTTCGCTTCCATGAATTGATCAAACTTCTCGTCATTTTTCTGTTTTTTCGCTTCAGGCTCTCCGGTACCATGTGACTGCCGGGGCTCTGAAGTTCCTTCCTCTCCATGAGCCCGCTTATATGCACTAGAATCTTTCGCGTACTTGCTCCAAGCTCTTGGCTTGTTTGCATCTCCAAACGGACGGCACTCTTCTACCTATAAAATTGTGTTTTTATTTGGATTTCAGAACAATGAAAGAACTATCTCACCGTTAATCTCTTCGAGTTGAAAAACGTCTGATTGGACTTAGCCATTGCATTTGAAGCAGAACTTTCATCTAGAAATCCAACAAATGCAAAACCGCGAAATTTTCCTTCTTTTGTGTACTTCAACGAGGCATCGGAAATCTGACCATATTTTTCGAAAAACTTTCGAAGCTGTTGCTCCGTGCAGGTGCTGGGCAAGTTTTTGACAATGAGCCGTGTGGTCATTTGTCTGAAATTAGTCGATTGAATTTTTTAATAGTAATCTGAAGTATAAAACATAGATTAACTGCTTTAATGTTTAGCAAAAAAGGAAAAATTTTTCTCTCTTAAGAGGCTAACTTTGTGTCGATTTACACTAAAAAACGCGCGCAACGAGATAGCGGAGTAACGTAGTGTGAAACTTTTGCGCGGGTTTTTGAATACAACATTTTTCAGATATTCAACAACTTTTTAACCCAAATAACATTTGTTTTATTGCATGTATAAATAAAGCTAATCACCAATTATTAAATAATTATTAAAGTTTACAAATTGAAGAATATACATGTAGAAAATATACACGAATTATCCGATCATCGTCGGATTCAATCTGTTTTGCATGAGACGTTCCATGATCTTATCCTTTCCAATAACAAAGAGATTGACATTTGGCATAACATGACCATAGGCCATATGACGATCCGGAGCCCACACTGCGTACTGAAATTCAAACATTTATAAGTTTTCTAAACCATCCGAATACCTTGAAAGTGTAAGGAGCTCGTTCGTTTGGATCAGAAAGTGTCAATGGGAATTCAAGTGCTCCATTCACAATGAGAGCATGTTTGGTCATAATTCTTCCATTCATATCAAATAATTCATTAATTCCTGGAATCGGAAGGTCCAATGACCCGGAAACTTCACGAATTTTTGATGGATCATATTCTCCTCCAACTGTGAATGCGGAAATGAACGGTTGGTACATTCCGTCATTCAAATTCAATGGAACATCAGCATATGAGTCAAAGTTTTTACGAACGTTCAACCCGTGATTGTTGACACCCTATTAGAAAAAATTATGAGACTACCAACTTCGACCTACTCACATTAACAGCCATTCCAGCACCCCAACCATCAGATAAATCCTCAGCGTACACTGCGGATACCATATGAGTGAATGGGTTGAACGCAGATCTGAAAAAAATTGATTCAAGAAGTGTCCGATGAACCAGAGATAAACCTTCCAGAGAAAACAGCAGGTTGACCTGGAAGATGCACATCGGGCACAGTTTGAGGTTTCTCATTGACTTTATTTCCTGCAATGTACAGTCCGGGAAGAATCGGACCGGATCTTTCATCGGACATTCCAGTTGGTAACTGTAGAAGACCAAGACCTCTAGGACGGTCTCGGAGATAAGGGGCTGTAAAAGCGGAAATTTTTTAGAATCTAGGACAATAATATTATTTTTTGGAATAACAAAGTACGGTATAATTTTCATTAATTCTTTTCCATTAATTCTTTCAAGAAATAACTTTATTTCCTGTAATGAAGGGTCCTCTAACTGTTTACTTTGAGTCAATTTATTTCGGCTCCTTCCAAAGAAGTTGTCAATTGATAAATTGTTTATCATGATATCATAAATGTTTTATCAGTTGACACAATTTATATATCTTGCATAGGGATTGAAATATATGAGCTCAGGATTGACAGTGTGGAGGACCTTGTTTGAAAACAATAAATTTTTTCTCTCTAAGAACTTAGGTTTAGGTTACTGTAGTCTTTGGAGGGAGTTTAGAAGGACAGTATCATTTCCACAAATATCAACTTTCATCTATTAATTCCCATCATCAAATCACTTACCTTTCGCTTTAACCAACGGAATGACTAATGCAAAAAGTAAAAAAATGAACGGAGAAAGTTGATGGGTGTGAAGAAGAAGCATTAGTTCCAATCTGATCTGATTATCAAATAGGCTTCTTTGAAAAAGATTCACTGCTTTGGTCACTTTCCTTATCAACTCACCTATATCACTATATCATTTCTCGTCCTCTCTCTTTTCCTGTTTCTCGAAGATCAGTGGGTCCAAGCGAGGTGGAAAAACGTGCTTGAACACCCCGTCACTACGTTTTTGTTTGTTAATCTTTTTTGAAAATTGACTATGTCATGACTATGATTACGGTATATCAATGTGATCAATTTTGTTATTTTTTGTGGCTTCATAATACCAGAAGAATTAGATTTGAAGCAAACTACATTCTTGTTCATTCTATGATCTTTTTTCTTAATCAATCTTGTGATTGTGTTTCCTGTCAATCAAGATAACAGTAGATTTATCATCTGGTGTTTCCTGGACTTTCAGAAGTCATCTTAAGATTTCTCCGTATTTTTACATTTTTCATGCGCCTTACAAAAATTAAACACCCAAACTATTCAAACGATTTCCAGTAAATCAAAAAAGAATGAATAAAAAATTATTACAAAAAAACATTCAGTATTTCTCGTTGTTTTGAATCATTAACTAGGGAATGACTCACAGAAGATGTGGAGTTATGGGACGAGACCTATATCATTCGAAAGAGGATGAAATTTCATTTTCAAATATATGCTCAGTTTTTGCGGCGGCCTCCGCTAACTCGAGAAATTTAGGTCAGAAGTTTTCAGTAGATTTTGCACTGAAATGCATACGTGAACGCTTCCACGTCCTCATTTCTTTTATACGCTTTGAAGAACCATTGAAAACAGCAGTGGGATGGTTCAGTGGTAAAGCGGCGGGATGGGGAAATGGTACTCTATGGTTCGACTCCTTCATAGTCGAAACTCTTTTTTTTATTTTTTGTTGGTTTTTTATATGACCTGTTTTTGAGCTCAAAAGCTGTTTTCAGCAGTTTTCCATACTCTAAACACCTTT